CTATTTTCACATTTCTTCTCTCAATATTTCATTTAAGCTGCTTCACCAGTATGCTGCATTTTTATATAAAACACTGTGGTATTTTTAACTACAGGAAAACATTAGAAAACTTATACAACAAAAACACAAAAATCCCCTAGATCTCCTCTCCAGTGTCCAGAGTAACAAATCCAGAGCATTGCATTAGGATAACGTGCCGTCCTTCTCCCGTCCTCCTGCCTCTTGGGGATCGTGCTGGAAGATGGGATGGCAGCTTGGATGAGAAGGGCTGCTCTAAAGGAGGACGATCGAGGAGAACTGCAAAGTTGAAGAATTCATTTGTGGGATTTTTGGAGATGGACCCTGTGACTGGGGCTCAGAACCTGAGGTGAGATTTGTGTTTCACCATGTACCTGATGAATGAGAGAGAGATGGAGGAAAAAGGGGTGTTTGTGCCAAAAATGTCTTCATAAATTACACAATACGAAATAACTGACAACGTACAGTTGAAGTGACAAGTTTACACTGCACTGGGGCATGACTGGGGCACTTCACAAAATAGATGGCATCACGAGGAAGGAAGATTATGTGGATATATTGAAGCAACATCTCAGGACATCAGCCAGGAAGTTCAAGCTTGGTCACAAACGGCTCTTCCATATGAACAATGACACCAAACAAACTTCCATAGTTGTGGCAAAATGGCTTTAGGACAACAAAGTCAAGGTACTGGAGAGACCATCACAAAGCCCTGACCTGTCCAACAGAACATCTGTGGGCAGAGCTGAAAAGGCATGTGCAAGCAAGGAGGCCTACAAACCTGACTCAGTTCCACCAGTTCTGTCAGGATGAATGGGCTGAAACTCCAGAAACTTATTGTAGGAAGCTGGTGGAAGGTATCCCAAAACTTTTGACCCAAGTTAAACAATTTAAAGGCAACATTACCAACTGCTAACCGACTGTATGTAAACTCCTGACCTACTGGGAATGTAATGAAAGAAGAGAAGACAGCTGACCTACTGGGAATGTGATGAAAGAAGAGAAGACAAATCTTTTTCTCTACTGTTATTCTGACATTTCACATTCATAAAAGAAAGTAATGATTCTAACTGACCTAAGACAGAGAATGTTTGTAGGATTAAATGTCAGGAGCTGTGAAAAACTGAGTTTAAATGTATTTGGCTAAGGTGTATGTAAACTTCTGACTTCAACTTTACACAACAGCCACACAAGTGTACATGAGGGAGTGTGAGAATAAATACCTGTCGAGGGTTTCCCAGAAGCGCAGAAAGACTGGCCGGTCCAGATGGCGCCTGTGGCGACTCAGCTCCAGGACGGTCACATCCCACTTCTGCACATTGGGGTCTGTCTTGACCTCATCATACTTCAAATGAAAGGCTCGAACTGAAGGGGAAACATGCAGCCACAAATTTAACTAGGTGAATCCAAGTTAATGGTGGAAGTAAATGTGCCACAACTATAGTTAAATGTGTTTCTTTTGAGAACTCAGAGATTGTGACCTTTAAATATCACTGCCATTCTGTCAACATTAGCAACCCCAGGCTGACTCATTGCTAACAGGGGAGAGAAATAAACAAAAGCAAAAAACTTGTTTTTTCCCCTCACTTTTGGCAAAAATGTCAACAGGAGATCCATCAGGCAGCAGCCACGGCCAGCCTTTGAACTGCCACGCAGGCCCCTGCACAAACACAGCCACCACGCGATCCCTGCAGGAAGAAAGAGAATTTAACGTACAACAACATTACCCATTATCAGTGCTGTTTCCTGTTCAATGTGACACTGAACACATTTCTTTTTTAAGTGCCGAGTTGTTAGCTTGCAGACTTAATTTTGTACCGTCTGGCCTACGTAGTGAGGGCTGACATTGTAATAAAAGGGGGTTTTCCATTATAGGAACCTAGTGAAATGTGTTGAGCCAAGTAGCGCTCGTCACGGGTTCTACGCTCATTTCCACTGCCCTACACCCACTTTGAAGGTGCGTTCCAGGAACTAAATTTGGGCATTCCTCAGGAGGTAGCACCATCACCACTATAGAATGATCCTTCATGTCCTTTGCTCAGCTGTGTGTGTCAGAGGAGTACAGCTCCTCTCTCCTCTAAACAATGAGCCACACAAAAAAAGACGGCGAAAAAGACAAGCAGGGAGGTCTGCATCAACCCACGAGGTTATGCCGAGTAAAGATTTACTGTTCTAAAATCACAAGGGAAAAACTAGCCATTGGCAACCCTGTACGATACACACTCAACTGCAAGCATGTTAACAGGATGTAAATCCTGGCTCCTCTAGTGGTGTCAGGAACATTAACAAAAACATAACTTGGGGAAAAACTTAAAAAAAAAAATAGCAAAATGTACATTTCTTGAAGAAAACATAAGTGACTGCTGCTTGTAGAAAAAAGCTGCTGGGAGAATTATCCAGCCGAACAGTGGAGAACCAGGAGCAGGTTTCTTAAATTAGGGTATATGAGAGTATGAGAGTGTGGGAATTTAGAAGTTAGACGTGTGAAACTGGCCAAATGTGACACTACTGATAACGTGTTTAAATATGTGAAACACTGCCCCATGAGGCATCTGTACAAATTAAAAACTTACCAACCAGATACCAACAAGCTGAATGCTGCTATGTTGTAAATACCCTCAACATATTACACCTGGAACTATGTTTCTAGATGTGAATATGAGGAAGTAGAATTCATTTACTTGTAAGCCTGAATTAACTTGTTCTTACTGTAGTAGCCCCCTACTGGAGCGCATTAAATTATACAGACTCACTTAACATCTGCTGAACAAATCTGGTGTCATTAAGATGAAGTAATCAAGAGTTATGGCAGTTTGCTTTCATTTGTCCATGCCTACAACAGTTTGTTAAACCATTATAGCCAAATGACTGGTGAAGTGCCAAATCAAATTCATGCAAACACAGAATGTACCAAGTCTGATGAAGAGTGGAAGAAATATACAGCAAAAACATGATGGCAGAAAAATTGTTCATAGCACATACCTATGGGCGTGACCTATATTCACTGAATGCGCATTTTTCTTGGACACATTAGTTTGATATATTAGCAGAATTGTACACTGCTACATTTTGCTAATATATTTCCATATGGTGCTGCTGTTGCTGCAGGTTTTGACAATGTGGGGAAGGTGTACATAAGGTTTCACTTCTGTAGCATTTCTAGTTGTTGAGGTATTCATTTTATGCAATGTCTCATAGACTGTCTTTTGAACTTTGAAAGAAAGCGACACAAGCTAACCCAAAAAAAGAGCCAAAAACAAAATTCACTGGAGAGCTTTTTCGGGAAGGAACCAGCAAATGACAGGACAGCAGAAGGGTCACAGACTGCCCGCAAAAAGAAAGCTGCATTTAAAAGAAAATACCATGATTCCTACCTAAGTTACAGGTTCATCGCAACAGGTGACACACAAGCTCCACACCTGCTATGCACAATTTGCGGTGACTGACTAGCTAATGAAGCCATGAAACCCTCAAAATTGCTTCGCCACATTGAGACAAAACACTCTGCGTTAAAAGACAAGCCCTCGGAATTTGCAGGGAAACAAGCCCAGGGCTCCCACTGACTCTGCATTATGGTGAGTTGATATTATAGTGTAGAATTATTGTAATTGCCTAATATAAAGTGTAATTGTTGCATTCAGATTCTATACTATGAACTGACAAAAGGTTTTTGTTATTGGGCCCCCATGCCTCTACCTGGTCCGCGGAAAAATTTTCATGCATGAAACCGGTCCCTGGTACAGAAAAGGTTGGGGACTGCTGATGTAAGCAACACAAATTCTGAAGCATCCTGAAAAATAACACTAACCCTTATAACACAGGTTCATGTGTAATCCCGAGTCATTTCTGTCAGACCTGATAAGTAAATATGACAGATGCTGGTGTCAACAGATGCGTCATATGGCAAGTGGCTGTTTCATGGTATGACCATGGTTAACAAAAGGCTGTACGACTGTAACTATGTCCCCCTAGAGAGACAGAATGCCAAGGTGAAAAAGTTTGAATCTTTTGTAATATGATAGATAATACAGGAATATAGAGGACTATACACAAATGACCAGAATATTTTATCAGACTCGTAGTCAATTAAATTAGGACAAAAGAAATTATCACAAGTCAGAGCACCATCTGGTCTCCACAGATGGTCCCCGTGTGGCAGAGGTGGGAAGTCACAAACTACAAATACTTCGTTACTGTACACAAGTAGATTTTTCAGGTATCTGTGCTCTACTTGGTTATTTATTTTTCTGACAACTTATTACCTTTATTCCATACATTTTCAAACTGTGCTTGTTACTTATAGTTTCAATACATTTGAAGGGAATTATTGATCATTTTTATTTTGCACTTGCTGCAATGTGAAAACCAGAGGATGGTTCGTCTTTGAAAGCTCGCTGCTTTATTTACAGTCCGCTAGCTCCTTGTGCTTTCATGGAGATCTTGCTCATGCACAGCTGATTCATACTTTACTTCAGATGCTGTAAAAAGTTATGGTCATATGAGGTTTTTGGGGCAACATGTCACCAGGGGCAGTAGTGTGTTTCACTGGAGGTCTACTACACGAACGAATAGGCTTATTCAGGCTGGAGGCTGACACATTAACAGTGCGTAGGGCTGTGCACTGGCAAGAATCTAGAGACAGGATAGGTATCATGGTAGAGGGGTCACAATTCGATATATTACAAAACATATTGTAATTTTATTTTAGAAAAACTGTCAAAATAAGCAGCACACCATCATATACATAGTAATAAGATAGTTTCCATTTTTATGCAATCAGAACAAGAATCTGCATTTGTCACAGTTCCTGTAACATCCAACAACATAGTAGTACTTGGAATATGAACTCTTAATAAAAAAAAAAAAAGAAAATGTATACAAGAAATTGGTTACCGTTTGTGAGAAACGGTACAGTATCGCACAGTGTAATATGGTGATACTGAAGCGTGTCGATATTTCCTAACATCCCCAACAACGAGTGTTGGTTCTAGTCTCTGTATGGGGATTGCTACAAAAACTTAATAGCCTAAAGAAAATGGCTGGGGTTATCCTTTAAAGGCTGGCGACGCTTCTTGATGCCATCTGAGGAATCAGAGAGCTCGGTCATCCAGCTTAGGCTTGTACCCTTTACGCACTGAAATCCTTCCAGAGTCCTTGAATCTTTTAATTATGTTCTGCACTGTAGAGTGATGTATCCAAATCCCTTCCTATCTTTCTTTGAGGAACATTGAAATGTTTAAAAACAATGTTTGTTTTTTTCCACACACATGTTGGCAAACTTTGCTCGTAACCGGCTCGGTCTTTCCTGGATGCCACGTTTTGTACCAAATCATAATGCAGTCACCTGTTCACATCATCTGTTTCAAACGAAATCATTTCGTTGTTTTACCTCATTACTGGCCCTGAAAAATAACCTTCCCAACTTTTTCTGGAATGTGTTGCAGCATCACAATTGAAGTGTTTATTTTGATTACAGAATAAAGTTGATGAAGTATCACATAAAATAATGAGCTGCTGTGTTGTCTTCAATGTAATACAGGACGCAGACAACTTACAAATCACTATTCTCAGTTTTAATTTAGATTTTACATACTGTCCCAACTTTTTCTGATTTGGGTCATACTCCGAGTACACTTCAGAGAATTTACCTTTTTACTTTTACTCAAGTCAAGGGTTTGAATCAGTACTTCGACTTTCACCGGTCTTCTGTTTTTCTACACAGGTATCTGTAACTTCTGCTCGAGTAGCAAATGTGTGTAGTTTTGCCACCTCTGCTGTGTGGTAGAAAGAAAACACCAAATCAAAAAAAAAAAGCTCACCAGTCCTGTGGAGCCAGTTTGAGCGGCTGATCGATGACACGGTACGGCACAGTGACACTCAGTGTTGTGCCCCCAGGCTGGATCTGGTCTTTGCGCCTCTGAAGCAGAACCTCATTATCACGCTGAATGCCCTGCTTCTTCTTCTCATCTGATGTCACAAACCTGGAATGGTACAAAGTTACTATCCACAGTATACAAATAATACTGTACATTCATGAATGTCTGACTCACTATTAACTGAAACTAAAGAAAAGCAAGATTTTCCTCAAAAGTCTAACAGTGAGTTTCAAAAAAGTGCAATAGGTATTTATATGTACTTTAGATCCTGCAGAAGATCCTTAGCATTGAGCATTGTGATGAGTGAGGTGGTAGCAGCAGGGATGATAATGATGGGTGTCCGCGACCCTGTTAAGAAATGTTTTAATGAAAGATCTTAAAGACTATGAGGGGAAAAAAAAAATTCCATTACACTAATATCAAATAATGTACTGTAATTTATATTTGTGGCAAAATCACTATCTCATGTACCTTTCTTCTGGTTTGGTGGCGGTCTGGCTTGTGAGACTACAGGGAAAAAAGACGAGAAGTGTTAAAAATGAGAAATTTCTAAACAAATACACAACATGCAAAAATGATACAAATAATTATTAAATGCTTTATTGTTCTAGGTGATAATTCTCTGTGGGGTTGTCATCATAGACAGCCCCTTTCATACAGTAATCAGATCCATTGTTCAGCTAGTGTAACTTTTAAGTGTTTTGCACTCAAAAAGTTTACATCATTCAGCCCATCTTAGGACACTAGAATGTAGAAGTCCATATGGAAAACAAGTTAATGATAGACTAGCTGCTGACTTTGTCTGCTGTTTGGTGCTGTGCAGGCAGTGGTTTTTTTTTTTGTTTTGTTTTTTACTGAAAACAGCTTCCTGCTGCTGCTGGGAAAAGGTTGAGCAAAGCAAGCTGCCTGAAAATGGAGACAATGAGTATAAAGTTTCTGTAGCACTGAGGGGAACAGCAGAATTGGCTGATAATTCTCTCTGGATTTGTCACTACAAACACTTGTCTTATCAGTTTTGTGACATCTTACTTGTACAATACTTTTACAACTAAAAGTGTTTTCAACTTGCACCTTTTTAGAAAGTATGAACAGCTTGAACACTGGTCTAATCAATGGGCCTATCTGTTTACTTGTCAGAGCAGAATTTCTTGTTTATACAACACGAGCAGTGTCTCAAAGCTCTAATCCAGCAGGCAGTTCTGTTTGCGACTGAAAATGTCTTGCTAACGCTGAAAAGCCACTCAGATGCAGCGTGATACAATTTATAAAAAAGGAAAAAAAAAGAGAAAAAATTAAATTATATATTGTTCACTATGCCCCAACACTGTAGAATACTCAATTTTTCTAGTCAGTACCAGTGAAGTTTGTGACACTCTCACTCTATAGCCTACTAACTTAGAGTGTAAAACACAAACAATACAATGGAAAACAGAACAGCAGTAAACAGCAACCAAGCAACCTCTTTACTTATTATTCAGCCTTTTTTTTTTTTTTGCAGATAGTAATGTGAAAGGGTGTGTCTGATACTAGAGATGGGACAATACCATCGTCCATTGCCAATGGCAGACAGGCATTGTGATGGTGAAGCGCCAGCATGATTTAAATCCCAGCCCGCTCACCGCACAGCAGTGCCAGTGACACCCACAATCCTGTTAGCAAAGTTCAGTGTGGAGATCGTTCAGGCAGCGGCCTCTGCTGATAGTCATGGTTTCTGGCTAAAATGACAACCGGGGGGTCATAACCAGCTGTCGCTAAATAACGTCAACTCCATGACTTAAACTGACAACAGAACAAAATGAAACGCACTGCTGGTAAACAGGCATCACTCTGTAACACCACTGAATAACCTGTGCTCCGAGTGCTTCTCTGTAGTTCATCACTGATAAAACTATCGGCTGATCTCACATCAGTGATGGGAATTTAACACATTCTGCAGGACGGTGTACGCACAAATGCTTATGAAGATCCATCGTGTCCTCCTTTACATCATTACATAAGTACTTTCATTAGCTTTTCATTTTGTTGACCCAAAGTACTGCTAGATGGGCAAAAGGGTACTTTTAGCTGTGCCGTGCAGCGGTGACACAGGCTGTATGTGAGATTGTCCTGAGGGGTTATTGTTCAAGTCCAAAGTATTGTACTTAAAATATAAATAATCTATTCTTTTTAAGAATGTTTAATAAATCAGTGTACACAACATTCAGGCAGCAGCTTTTAATTTTCATCCAGTGGATAAAATCAAAAAATTTTAACAGTCTAAATTGTTAAAATGTTTTGATTTAGTGGGATATAAGACTGCTGTGTTTATGTATAAAGCCAGGAACAATTTATTACCTGGTGGAATTCAAAAACTATTTAATGAAAGGGAAGGGGGATACAATTTAAGGGGTCAGTTAAATTTAAAAATTCATGCTATACGTACAACCAAAAAAAGATTCTGTATTTCCATAAGTGGGGTAAAACTATGGAATAATAATTCTTTAGTATATTACTTGTGTGGTGTAGAAGAGAATAGAAGTGAATCATTTATTGCTTGCAAACCAATGATGGTAAGATGATGTCATGGGGTAGGACTGGATAAGTCTGACTTCTTCCTACTCCATTCAAGCATGTACTAGGTATAAGCAAATTGATATTGGATTAGCATTTGTTGGATATGTGTAAAATTATGTGTGTTGACATATCAACTGTCTTTACATGCTTGAAAGAATAAATAAATCAAATCAAAATCAAAAATATTATCAAAGACAAACCCTATGTTAAAATCATAAAATAAATTAGACTACGCCGTTTGACAAAGGATGCATTCAGGAAGCGCAATACATCCTGGCCCTTAGCAAGGTCCAAGTACATTGTTTAGTCCAAAATTCTTTGGTTAAGTCAGTTTGCCCCTGTGCATTGGGCAAACTATGTATATATTTTTTTATGTTAAATGGTTTTTAGAAAAAAATATAACTGTGCCCCATAGAGCTCTGATAGGCAGCTACTAAAACAAATCAGTTCAAACTTAAAAAAAAAAAAATCATCATGATAAGCAGACTTATGCATGAATATACAGGGTATTTTTTGTTTTACACTGACCTGGGCGAGGTACAGGCTGCAGTGCTGGGGTCTGAGCCTTCCGAGCAGATGCTCCTTCCTGAAAAAAGAAAAAAACCCCATCAGTCATATCCATAAACACTGCATGACATTCAGTACTGCATGTCTTTAAACAAGTAAATGTTGCAGCAAAGTTAGGCAAAGCTAGGTTTGCTATTTGCGTTGGTGTGCATTTGAATTTAATCCACTCTTCATTAAGACTGAGAAATATACATTTTTGGAAGTCCATAATTAGTCAAGCACAGCATAATGGCATAGTCACATTACAGCAGTAAAACAAGGGTCTTGTGCTGCATGTTGTTGGTTCAATCAGGGTAATTGGCTCTTGTACAGTTTGGGAAATTCAGGAAGACAAGTATGGTCATCATTATTTTTTGTCTGTTCAAGCAGTTGTCATTGACTGGCTGCACTCACAGTGGCCAGTTCAGATGGGGTCGATGTTCAGCATTTCGTTTATCCTGAGTTTGGCGCAGGTCAAGTGCTGAACTGTTGGCATTGTTACAGTATTAAAATGAATTATACACAATCCACCGTTCACCATTAGTGGGGCTCAAGGTCTCTTGATGGGTAACAAATACATTTATTTTCTCTCTTCTCATCTCACCACCAGCACTACAAGATCACTGTCAATCGCAGATAAACTACATGTCAGCAGTTTGGGCGCTTGTACTTCCTCTCCAGTGATATTACAAAATGCACCAAAAGGTGTTCTGCTCCACATTACAGCACTTAAGGAACTACAAGATGAAAATAACAATGGTTTAGGGACTTTCCACATGCACGGTAGCTAACAAATCAATGCCAAAAAAAAAAAAAAAAATCCTGTAAACCCAGTGGTTCTCCAACTTAAAGCAGTCCAGTTCAATAAATTGCAACACTGCCCACAATGACAGATCATGTAAAACAATAGCAGACATGTAAAACAGTTTGTATTGGGAAACTGTACTTACTCCCACCAAAAAAGACAAACATTTTGAGGAGTACCCACCTACCCTCCTGGGCACATGTGCACAGACAAGCACCCCACTTGCTCTCCACTGCATGGAGAATAAAATGTTATGTACAGCTGTAGTTTGGTGGAATCAAAATAACCACAGCTGAATATGAAAATTCTGGCATTGCAGACCAACATAGCTACATGAGCACAGCATAAACATAGTTTTAACTAGACAGCACGCACATAGCACAACCTCAGCCAAGGGGCAACTCTGTTTCTCCATAATGCCATGATAATTTGACCCTCATAATATGACCCTCATAATTTGACCCTCATAATATGACGCTTGATCATGAAAACCTACTGCTGGCATTTGTAATGACTAGTCTGAAAGTTATTCAAGAAAAACAACAGACATGACATTTAGGGGTAAAAGAGACTCCAGTGGGTGGACCGGGGGCAAAGCAGTGAAGACGTCACATTTCTGCAACATTTCAGCTGTTTGATAAACTGCTCATACAGTCTCTTACCAGCTGATTGTGGCACTGTGGAGCGATCTTCCCTGCTCTCGCTCTCTGTGTGTGAGGGAGAAGCACAGCCCCTCCCTCCTCTAACCAAAGACAGTGCAAAATACATGTGTCTGTATATTTTTGTCCTGCCCACTGACATACATGAGAGGGTGAGAATATTAGGAACATCTCTGAATATAATGTAGTCCAGTAAAACACCACCTTTAACTATGACCTCAATAATTAACATAATTAAATTTATACATTTATGATAATCTCACCAAAAACTGAAACATTCTGAGCTTCATAAACACACATGTTAAGGCGGAAGTGTTGCACTGAAGTGCATACTGATGTACAGGTGGTCATAATGTTTTGTCTGATCGGTGTATAGTCAGAAGCCTTTCCAGTACTCATAATGGTTAATAATCCTTTAACATATTCCTGTATCCACATTATGATACGGATCAGCACCAAACTCTAACCACTTGTTTCATGGGTCATACCCTACCTCTCCAAAAAATTCATCAAATCATATTCCTTACTTTTTGAGTTATGATATTAAACAAACCTACCTACCAACAAATGCCAGCAAAGATATAACCACCATCCTTGGCAGAGGTAATTATCTGTGTTCTAATCATTACCCAGCATAAGAGCCTGGCAACAGCAACATTATAGACTGTGACTAAAATGGGCGTTTGACTTGCACTATCATTATACAAGACGATGTAGCCTGGCACCATCTTTCAATTGGATTAGGCAATCAAGGCAATGGGTCCCCTGTATAATTTGTGGGAATACTGTCACTTCTCACCTTCTCCTCTTATTTCACACCACATCACATTGAGATAACGCCTGTTCATCTTTCTGGAGAGCGAGCGTGAATGCAAATAGGTCAGGAGCCCCTCCCCTTTCAACAGAGCAGGCAGCAACAGAGGCAGAGACGGCGTGACGTGGTGGGAGAACGTACTGCCACAAAGCCTGAGGCTGCCTTTCAGAAGGAACACATAACTCACAGCTCTGCCTTGTGTTCAATGTCCTCTTCCCCTTCTGGTTTCACCCCTCTAGCACTCACTGACAGCACAACAATGGCACAGAGGGGCTGCAGAATGAGGAGGGTGAGAAGAGGAAAATGAGAAAAAAAAAGGAAAAGGACAGAAGCACGAGGGAGTGGGAGGTTATGAGCATGTGAATCGAAGGAAGAGGCAGAGCGAGAGGAAATAACGATCAATATGGATATAAGAAAAGCTGAACAAATGGAGAGACGCAAGGCTTATGGATCATTCAGAGATGAAGCCGTTCTATCCACTGCCGTTTTGGTATACACAATATGAGAGGCGAGGACAGTAATGGTTGCAGCCAACTGTCAACTACTGACTTGGTTGCCCCTCTGGCAGTGGTGGCGGCAGCAGCAGCGCAGCACCGTTAGCACCAAGCCTCTGGGGACAATGCGCCAAGGCAGATGGAGAGACTGCAACGCTGAAGCTCTGACCCATGTTCTGCCCATGCACCCACACACACACAGACTTGTGTGCATTTATGTAGAAGATAGTTACGAGTTTCTGAAAAATGACTAATTTCCATGTGACTAATATACCAATGAAGAACAGTGAGTAAAAGAATAGGCTGGTTTGTCATACTGGACAATCATGAGGACCTGAGCTATCAAACCCAAGATTATGTGACTGATTTGATGAGTGCAGCAGGAGCAGAGACGAAGAGGGCAATCAGTGTGGCAGGATTATAATTCAGGACATACAGGAAAGATGGATACCAAAAGGAAACAAGTCTTAGAATAAAATGGGTAAGTTTGTCTTGCAGAAGCTTAAACCGCAAATGCATATCAACAGTACTATGCAAAGACAATTATGCTGCACCACACCCGTCAGATCCTGTATGTTATGTAAAAACGGATGTTTGTTGCAACATACAGGATGTCGAAAAAAAAATCGTTTCCATTAACATATCTTTACAGTGATTGTGGGAGTGCTAAACTACTCTTTGCATTCCTTTAAGAAGATGTGTGTATTGCAGTAAAAAAAATTAAAAAAAATTCAAAAGAGGAAGAGAAAAACAACAGCATGCAAACATAGGCTGCTCTTTCTATAACCAGTTCTCATCTGGATTCGGTTCAATGGCAAAAGGAATCTACAGTTGTGAAAACGGAACATAGTTGTGTTCATTTTTTATCTGCCAGAAACTAGTTGTGTTCACTCTTCATCTGCAAGAAACAAGGCAAAATTTCCCTTTAACCAAAACAACCGAAGATTATGTGGCCTACATCATGTAACTGGTAAGATGTTAAAGTACATGAAGTCAAGAAAAATATAGTTTAGTCTCCCTGCAAACACTACTATGGAAGCCCATTCCCGCCAGTTACTCCGACTTAGCTAAGTCGAAATTCCGACATAGCCAAGTAGAAATAATGACTTAGAGCGTTTTATTTCTCATTTAACTGGCGGGAACGGGCTTCCATACACTACCTAGTGAGTACTAAAACGAATGGTATTTTGTAACAAAGCCAAAGATGCATTGTTGACTTGCCGTGACTAGTATTTTACAGTGGTGGAAGAAGTACTCAGATTGTTTAAGTAAAAATAACAATACCACAGTGTACAAATACTCAGTTACAAGTAAAAGTGCTGCATTCAACATGTTATTTAAGTGAAAGTACAAAAGTATCAGCATAAAAATGTACCTATATTACCAAAGGTAAAAGAACTCGTTATGCAGAGTGGCACATTCATTTCACATTAATTCATACATTATGTATTTTTGTTTTACTCATCTGATTATGAAAAGTAGCTAAAGTTATCAAATAAATGTAGTGAAGTGAAAAGTACAATGTTTTTCTCTGATATGTAATTTTATGTATTAAGTAACAGAAAATAAAAATACTACAGTATAAGCAAGTACAGATACCTCAAAACTGTTCAAGTACAGTACTTGAACCACCTATGGTATTTCAACATTATGTTGTTGATCATCTATAGTGGTGAATCAATGCAGGGAGGAAAATTTATTTATTCCCAACTAAATTTGTGATATAAAATGCATACTATACAAAATACACTATAAGAAACAAACCTCAAATAAAAATACAAAGGCAAGAGCAGTGATCTTTCATAAGTTGCAGAACCCAGAACTCCAAATCCATTATAAAATCAATTAGTTTTATTTTCTTTATTTAGCCAGAGGGGTAACAGACTACTGAAAACATAAGAATACGATCACAAAAACTGTGATCTTAAACTTAAAAACGTAACAGATTTTTATACCACTTGGGAGCATTGGAAATAAACTGTAAACAGTGACATTTTGTCATCTATCAAGTTTATATGTGGAACTTACCAACAGCTGCTTATTTACACATTGCTGTACACTGACAAAGTTTACACATATGGGAATGAGATAAATGTCAAACCATCATTTGCTACACAACCTATCACATACACTTCACTTTGTCTCCAGGAATCAAGACCTGGTTGGAGACGACCAGCCTCAGAAGTGGAAGACGGTCTAAGTGAATTTGTGCTGGTAGAACAATGCAGTGGAGAAGACGCCACTGCTGTACACACACAGCTAAGCTTCTTTATCTCCTCTCAGCGCTGGGCGTACTGATCTTTCTGGTCCACCATAACTGGCTGCCAAGGCTTACCTGTATGCCATGGTGGAGAGGCCATCCTGTGGTGTATGGAGATGGTGGACTCCAAACCACAAGAGCCAAACTGAACTCAAGCGCCAAACATTCAGTGTGGAGGTTTGTCATTGTTCCTCAGCCAATTTCCATGGTTGATGTCAACATCAGCTCCCATGAGAAGGAAGATATATCCTCTCCTCAAGGAAACTCTGAGAACACTCTGGTGGCCAACACAAGCCAAAGTGAAGCGGAAGACTTTAGTGCCACCATAACTCACGGGCCTTTTCCTTATATCATCAATGAACCAGACAAATGTACAGAGAGCCGACCTGCACCATTTCTAGTGTTGTTGATAGCTACTGAGGCTCGGCAGGTGGAGGCGAGGAATGCCATACGGCAGACATGGGGGAATGAAAGTGTTGCCCCAGCTCTGGGATTCATCCGGCTCTTCCTACTGGGGAAAAATGAGGGGGAGTTGGGACTTTTACAACAAAGAATGCTAGAAGCGGAGAGTCGGAGATATCA